CTTTCCATGTTTATTATTTTCATGTAACACAATTTTTTTTTTTTAGAATAATATCCTTTTGTTATATGACGTCTACTGTTAAATAAAAATGCATAGTGTGTTAACCAGTCAACCACTGGTGCTTTCACCTTACTTCCTTTTCTTTCCATTCGTTGAAATCACATAGACGATAAAACTATTTTAGCGAGTAACTCTTTCTCTCTCTCTCTCACTTTCTCTCGGTTTGCTTCATCCGTTAGATCCAGATGTAAACGAATGAAATATCTCGATGATTTACTGTTCGGTCATCTTTGAGGGCATCAACGTTAAAAGCCAGATGATGCACTTAAACGTGCCGCCGACTTTATTTTTACCAACGTTATAGTTAAAACCTTCCAGCAAAACCTATTGGGTGTATTTTACTCGTACGGTTGTTAAAATACGATATGTTATTTAAAGATATATTAATACTTGTGTTAGTTAGTTATTAGAAACCAAATTTTAAATCAACTTACAATTAGAAAGAAAAAAAGAAAAGATAGTTCAATCGATTAGAAAGTATTTGATAATAATAATAATAATAATAATAACAAGCTCTCTTTATATAAATTGCTATATAATAATAATAATAAATAAATAAATGTATAAATAAGTAAGTAGGAATGTATGTAACTAAGTAAGGGGTTTGTTGTAAAGTATATGTATATGTATACGTATATACGCACCTGTGACTCGCGCGAGCCACAGGTTCGCAATTAAGTAGGTAATTATCATAAGCGTTGACTCGAGTAGCCAGGTAGTGAAGGTAAGTCGTTCGTAATTTTGCTATAGACGCGTCCTCGCCCTCGGCTATCTCGTTTCTTACAATGTAACACAACCAAGCTTACATACGACCTACGCGACTATTCGATTATCGTCACTCGTTATTTTATGCAGCACGAGTCTCCAATGAGTATTACTTACTTACTTACTTACTTATTTACTCAATTACTTATTTACATACATATACATATAACTATCTAATATATTACGTAAAACGATTGATAATCGATCCTTTTATTATTATTATTTTTCTTTTTCTTTTTTTTTTTACTCTTACTTTAAATAAAGATCTTACTTAATCTTATTTCCATTAACAACACCTACAAGGTCTTTGGGTGTTGAGTTTTATTATATTTTTTTTTTCTTTACGAGAGATTACATATTTTATGCAAGTGTTACGTGTACGTATTATTTAAAAAGGGGGGATGATTATTTTATGCAATGAGAAATTATTCAATGGGTATTTTGGTAATTAAGTATAAACGCCATCGCAGATAAGTTCCCCTAATGCGCCAATTTACAGCTAACTTAAATTGTTGCGACAAATCATAGATAAAAAAAAATACTTTATTTAATATCAAAACACATTCAAAATTCAAAAGATTTTTTTACTTATAAAAAGTAGTCAATCGGATTTCGGTGGAAAATGGGCCGATATAGAATTTACCATAGATTTAAAACAGTTTATATTTGTTTTCACCTGATGCTGTCGTCATAACCCTGACGAAACCCTGACGAAACCCTGACGCCACCCTGACGGTTGCTGTGTGCAAACAACAAGGTTGCTCTTTATTGGCGCATTAGCTGAATTTTTGTTGTATTTTTTCTGTTTTTTTTTGAGTTTTATGATTGGTTATTCGTCAATGTTCTTCTATTCGTTGTATTTTTAGTATAATCACTGTTTATATGATCTTTTACGTGAATTTTTGTGAAAAAAATTTCAAATATTTATTACAAAATAAATATTTCAGATTGATGTAAAATTTTGAGAAATATTATATTTATTGTTAGTACGTGTTATAATTTATTGGGTTTGTCGTTTTTTTATATTAGATATTTCTTAATCTCCTTTTCTATTGAATAAAAAAAAATAACAAGATGAATGTATTGATTTTTTCTATTTTGTGATTTTTTTACAGGTAGATATATATATATTTATGGTTGTGTAAATATCTCATAAGGGTGTCAAATTTTTTTCCGGGGGATATATTTTTTTTTTCTACAATGGACGATTATTGATCAGGGTTTTTTTTTTTCTAGTTCACACCTTTTCATCAAAAATATCAGAAAAATAATATCATTCTATTTCTTGTTTTTTTTTTTTTTTTTTTCTATATATGATCTTACTAAATTTTTCTCCAAAGTATTTATGAAAGTGTAAATATCACAGGTAGATGTAAAATAAGATGAGAAATATTCTCAACACTTTTTGTAGAATAGTTTTTTCCCGATTTACTCACAAACTTTTATGGGATAGATTTTAATCTTTATGTTCGATCGATTAAAAAGGACACCACTCCACTCACTGATAGTTTTTATTTAATTTTCATATTTTTCACAATATTCGTTTTTTTTCTTTTTTTTTTTTTCTTCTGAAAAGAAATATAATTCCTTGAGAGTGTATATAAGCATTTATTTATATAATAAAGGAATATTTGAAGTAGGTGTAAGATATGTGAAAAAGAAGAAAACCTAAGAGCGAAGCGTTACAAATACAAATCCTTTGACGCGAACGATCGTTTTAAAAGTGAACAATTCGATTGACTTTTTTAACGTTGATTGGTTATATCGAATAAGTAAATAGAATATTCCCACCAGTACCAGGTAAAAATAAGAAAATAGGCTTCTTCTGTTCTCATAAGATTGTAAGGTATGCGAAGAGAGTTAGTGACAGAGACAGAGACAGAGAGAGAGAAAGAGAAAGACGAATAGAAAGAAGAAGAAGAAGAAAAGAAAAGAAAAGAAAAGAAAAAAGGGGAGAGAATTTTTGTTAAAAGTTCAACCGTCCAAGAGTTTGTCCGTCGTGGAAGAAGCAGCAAAGACGTTTCTTGTATCCTCCTTGTTCTCTCAAGCAAAAGAGCATAAGCGTTTGGTTCAGTTCGGTGATGGTGTGCACCTTCTTCGTGGACGGGCATTCCAAATGTAATTGGCTTGGATTTTGCTTGCCGACGATAAACTGCTTGCTTGCTTGCTTGCTTGCTTGCTTGCTTACCTCCGTTGGATCGGGGACGACGGACTTTTAAAACGAGTAGATGCGACGTTGTAAAAACGTAATTGGAGTCATTGCGCGAAATTAGTTGTGAGCTCGCGCCAGAGAAACGACGGACAAGCGACCATTTCTCTGGCGCACGCATGTGTCCTCTGTTTCTTCATCATCATCATCATCATCTTCTTATTCTTCTTCTTCTTCTTCTTACCTTTGACTGTACGAGTTAGTTAGCTAGCTAGCTAGCTAGCTAGCGTGATCCTGTTTGGAAAAATTTCGACATTGTTTACTTCCCCATCGTCAGCTGTCAAGAAAACGCAAAAGGATGTTAAGAGGGTACAAATTTATTTCTTTCTTCTTTAACCGTACGAATGTCCTGTTGAGACAAAAAATTTCTCATCGTTGTTTAACTCCTCCATTTTATTTTCTTAGACGACAAATACTATTTTATCGATAAAAAAATTAACATGAGCTAGAATGCGAGAGATAGAGAGAGAGAGAGAGAGAAAGAGAGAGAGAGGCACGCGTGCACCAGCGGCGGTTGAGCGCCAGGAAAGAAATAAAAGTGGGAAAGAGAGAACCCGGTGGCCACGAGTTCCTTGCTTGCCTTGTCCGAAGAGTAGGGGTAAAAGGAGAGGGGCGTGGCCTAGTGGCGGGGACCGAACCGCCCACCAACGGTGCTTCCCCCAAAGACCACGTGCTCGCGTTTGCTCACCGATGCAGGGATTTTCTTCTTCTCGTCTTTTACTGAACACGTCACTTCCAACCGACATTCCAGATATATTTAACATCCGAAATATTTCAAATGTGGCGTATTATTTTTTTGTATTAACAAATGACAATCGAAAGAAAAATTGCGTCACATTAAATATTGGGCCTTTGTCAATTGTTGCATGGGTTAGGGGGGGGGTGCATTCTTAGGATTGCTTTACTCAAACTAGAAAATCTGTTGTTGGAATAGAGGGGCGGGGAGAGGGAGGAAGGCAGTTCCTTCGAGAGAGAGGGAGGAGAACGGTAGCGAGAGAAAGAGAGCGAGAGAGGCGGGCCGAGATTCGATCGGTCTGGGGGGGGTCTCTCTCTCTCGAGGGCCTCACCGATTCGATGGAAGGGGAGATGTTTCTCTCTTTCTCTTTCTTTCTCTCTCTCTCTTTCCGTCTTCACGAGGACGAAGAGGAAGCTACGAAGGAGGTGGGAGGTGAGAAGGAGGAGGAGAAATCGGCTCCTCCACGCTCGGAGGAGCGCGTGTGCAGTCGGCTAGCCGAGGCCTATACTTGTCCGTCGAAGGGAATTGGTCTTGCAGACGATTCTTCTAACTTTCTTCTTCGGGATATTAATTCCGGTACCCCCGTGGCTCGTGGTAGAACAAAATAAGGGCGTCTTCGAGAACGTGGTGGGGCCTTCGGTTCGTAGGCGCGAGAATTCAAAGCTCGCCACCCTTTCGATTTTGAAAGAGAAAGAAAATAAAAAAGGGAAAGGGAGAGGGAGAAGGTCAAGAGGTGCGAGATAGAGTAGTAGAATATAGAGGGTGCCAGGTAGAGAATTCTCGCCTCCCCCACCATCGAACCATTCGACTCTTCGGAAGCATCGGTGTGCCGCGCAACGACACCCACCCCTCTAAGGAAGGGCCCGGAGGGTGAGTTTCCCTGCCCCGAGCCGACCGATCCTCGGACCCTTCCGCAGTCGGTCACGCTGGACTCTACCGAACGCATTACGAGTCTCTTGCCTTTCTCTTCTGATCAACCTACGACGATAATATAACGATTAAACAGAAAAGGAAAATACACTAGAGTTGACGAGCGTGTTTTTCTTCTAATGCAAAATCTCACGAAGGACACGGTGTTATGTTGAATGGACGGTGTTGATCGACAAGTTTGGTGAACGGTGTCCTATCAGCGTATTTATTACGTATAACAAATTTTCGAGATACATTTGTTGGTGTTAGCACGATATTTAGCCGGATTCGACGGTTTTTCAAGGAGATAGTTGACTCATC